GTTGCATTTAGCTGGGGCCGGGCTTATATATGTATTCGCACCTTGCCAGTGAATGACAACTATGAAAGAAAAATCTAACCACGCGCAATTTGTCTGCTGCATGTGGAAATTGATCCGAGCGACTTGTGCGACAGTCCTGGGAAGCTTCTCCCGGCCACCGGGACATGTCTAAAAAGTATTTACGGCATCGTCAGTCATTCAATTTATCGCATTTCTTGGCCCAGCGCAAACTGAGAAAACGTCACTCGACGTTGCCGCTGACGTGGCTTTGGCTTTGCCTTTGCCTTCAGCCTGGCGACAAGTTCATACGTCTTATGACTTCCCGTTGACGGAAGTGTGTGTACGCGTGTGTGTGKGTGTTGGTGGGTGGGTGTGCGTGTATGTTTGGGTCTTATGTCTGCTTGGGACGTGTAGCTTACAGCAAAATCACTTTTATAATTGGCACGCAGCCAGCCAAAAGAAGCTGCATGTGGGCAGAAAAAAAAAGAAAACTCTGAAAAAGAAGTTACAAAAAAAAAAAAAAGATAGAAAGAAGGAAAGAAAGAAACAAAAAAGTTGTTCGTCTGTGAGGTTTTCAGTTAACTTATTGCCTGGCTGGTCGCGTCTCGACTCGTCCTTAGATCCTTAGCGATGTCTGCAGATACGATTTGTCAGATATGACATTATATTAATTGAAATCATACGTCAGCGCGGAATCGTCGCTTTAAAACTGTAATAAAACCGCTCGATGGCAAATGGCAAAGTCAATTAAAGTCATCAAAAGTGTCGCCAATAGTAAATTACGCAGCCAGACCAACCGCCCCAGCACAGCCCGAACAGAATGAAAATTGAAACCCTAATTGAATTGGTAAATATTTAAATAAATATAACCGCAAATAATTAAAACAACAAAGCCAAACGAGGCAGCAACCAGTGGCGAATTTCAATGGACGACACGTCTAAATTAAAAGCTCCACAAATATGAATGCATGACAGCAATAAAAAAAAGACAATAAGGAAAAATAAACTGTCCCTGGTGCAGGTAAATGTTCAGCTGAAAGGCAAAGGGCTAGTGGAGAAGGGGAGAAGGGGAAGGGCGAAGGTGGCACTCGCAGCACATTTCAACCACAAAAGCAATTAAATTTCCAATTAAATTGCGTTCAATGAACGTTACAAACTCTGCGCGATTTATTTAAATTGTTAATTAGGAAGCGCAATTCCAATTGCAAAATTGACAAATTAAACAAATTTACTGATCACAAAACTCTCCCACAACTGTCAAATATTGAAGTGAATATATTAAAACAAAATGCGCATTCATTGCGATTTGCCAACTCGCACCAGACTCAGCCAACCCAATCGAGAAACTTTAACAAAGCCAGCTGCAGCTGCAGTTGTAACTGGTCCAGCAACAACTCTCTGCAGACAAATTAAGAAGGAGCACAGGAATAATTTTTCGTAAACGTTTTTATCGTGTTGTCATGTACGATTAATTGCGGCTCATTAAACTTTATATGGCTACAGGAGCTTAAACGATTTCCGCCCCGAGCCGCTCTCTGCTCTGTTTCTTTCTTGTCTGTGTGAATTCAGTTTCCTTGTTCGTGAATTTTTCTGCTTTACCAAGGTTCTTCGTGTGATTGACCAATAGATCGGATAAATTGTGAGTCTAGTACTTAAATATTCTTCTGGCTAATAAAATGTCGAGATTTTTTCAAGAGATAGTCCATAGACATTTAACTAAGATGACGGATATAATGAGGTAAATACCTAACAGTCAAATAATTCAAAATCGTTCATAAACAAACAGAATATTTTTTTCTTCTTATATATTACATAGTTCTTAGTCTTAGTCAAGAATAAAACACTTGCAATATTTTGGAGGTCCAGCAATCTTTATCTTTACATTGTACTTTCTGTTTTATAGTGTTTCGTAATTATATGAAAAAATCCAGCGTATTAAGAGAGAGGCTCATAAATAATTTTTCATAGATCTATAAATCAGTCAGAGAAAAGACTTTGCTTTCGATTGTTGCTCAAGTAATAAGCTGATTGTTTTTAGGTTAAGTTGCCCTTTAATTTAGTCCAGTTTATTATAATAAACAAAAAGTGTTTCAATTATACAATCTGAATAAGTCTATTCTACTTGAATAAGTCTGTTCTACTTCCTAAGCAAATACAACATAACAATTTATGTAGCTATTTTTGCTGAGCTTTTTGTCACACATGAAGCGGAACACCAAAACTCTTTCAATATACTGATTTTATGTTTTATTTTTATTGCTTTTACTGTCAATGGCGCATGTTAATCAAAATCTTAAGTTCATACTAAATATATCATCATAAAAAATAAATACTTCTTGGTGGTGTTATCATACAGTAGAATGTAAAAGTATATTATATATATATATGAATGTGGCTATCGAACTAACTTTATTAAAATTATTTGTGGGCGATTCTCGATGTTTCAATTACACAATTTAAATTTTCTAAAAGTTCCTTACAAATTATGCTTACACATGCATAAATGAGGAGAAATATATTGACAAAAAAAAAATAAATAAATAAAAAATAAGTAAATA